TTCTCTCTATATCTATCTATCTATCTATCTATCTATCTATCTATCTATCTATCTATCTATCTATCTATCTATCTGCGAAAGGCCCCTCACGCATCATCACAAAATCTCCAGAACCGTAAAGCCTACAAACTTAAAATTTGCCTCGTATCTTCCTCTTGGATTCTCGGGGCTCACTAAGAAAGGATTTTTCCAAATGACCCTCAGAGCATTGAGAATATTTCCTATATTATTATTATTACTATCAACACGCTCTGATGCTCAGGAGTTCTACTCCCTCTCCCCACCTGAAAAAAAAGAAATCTCTTCCAAAGGCAAAACACAAGCAGAGGAGAAGAGGTTCAGTTTCTGTTTCAGAGCCCCAAGCGGCTTTAGTCCAGAACAGTTGAGCTAAGCCACACCCAGGCTCCTTGCTGTCTCCTTCTTGCTCACACAGCAAATACTCTTTCAGTTTCCAAACAGCCCTCAACTCTCTCACACACTGACAGGACGCTTGCCAGATGAATACCGATGGATGCTGGTAGGCAGGGGCAGAATTCCCGCCCCCCTTTTTTTTCCTCTCCAAAAACTAAGCCCAACCACAGAGTTTCATAGCGAAGCACCTGGGTAGTAAAAGGTATAAAACGGGGCAAAACTCCCTTAATAAATGTCCCACCCAGCCAGAAGAATCTTTGAGCTCCCTTGTGGTCGTAAATCGAGGGCTGCCTGCTGCATCTCTGTGACGGGGATATTTAAGCAGTGGGCCCCTCGCTGCTCTCTCTCTCTCTCTCTCTCTTTTTGAACAGGAAGAGGGCTCCTCGGCCGTCAAAATCGTACTCATGAATGAGAAATATCCGAAACTCAAGGGACCCGCTGTACGTTTTCCATTCCTTTAATGTCGGGGGGGGGCGAGGGGGGGGGGTTTTTCGGGGGGGCCTCGGGCGCGGGGGGGGGTGAACCAGGGGGCCCCCCCTCTGGTGGCAGGAGTGCAGGAAGAACGAGTGTTGCCAGGAGTGCAAATTCAAAGAAGGCATCGACTGCCTCTACGGGCTCTGCTGTGAGAAGTGTCAGGTAAGAGCCAAGCAACACTTCCTTCCTTCCTTCCTTCCTTCCTTCCTTCCTTCCTTATCCCCTTCCTCCTTCCATTTCTCCTTCCTTCTTTCCTTCTTTGTCTCATTATCTCCTTCCTCTTTCCATTTCTTTCCTTCCTTCCCAAATTCTTCCTCTCCTCCCCTCCTCCCCCTCCCTTTCTCCTCCCTCCCTCCTCTTTTCCTCCCTTCCCTTCTTCCTCTCCTTCCCTCCTCCCCCTCCCTTTCTCCTGCCTTCCTTCATCCCTCCCTTTTTCCTTTCCTTTTTTTCATTATCTCCTTCCTCCTTCCATCTCTCCTTCCTTCCTTCCCAAATCCTTCCTCTCCGTTCCTCCTCCCCCTCCCTCCCATTCTCCTTCCTTCCATCCTCCCTCCCTCCTCTTTTCCTTCCTTCCTTTTCTCATTATCTCCTTCCTCCTTCCATTTCTCCTTCCCTCCCAAATTCTTCCTCTCCTTTCCTCCTCCCTATCCCCCCTCTCTTTACTTCCATCCTCCCTCCTCTCTTCCTTCCTTCCTTTTCTCATTATCTCTTTCCTCTTCCATTTTCTTTCCTTCCTTCCTTCCTTCCTTCCTTCCTTCCTTCCTTCCTTCCTTC